AAAGGCAACACGTAACCGTTTTAGTTGAGGATAAAGCACAATCAAAGAAAAACTCTAGTGTGTACATGAACACAGGGGTGACTGAAAACGTTCATTTTAGTGCCGGACAGAGTGTACTGGTATGATGAGCTTCTCTAAACGGAGTAAAAGCGCGTTAGTTTCCACCCTTTCATTGCAAACGGTAGCTACAGACTCTGGGATTTGTCACTCGCGTTATTGGAAAGAGTTCACGTGTAAGGGTTTCTGGAATGACCAAGAAGAGGCCCTTCAACGATCTAATCCAATCTTGAAGAATAAACACACTAGATAATGCTAGTGTTACAAATAAAAGTAACGACTGGAATTCTCAGCATGTTTTGCATCAGCTCGTAGGAGCCTGATGATAATTGACTTTCGCTTCGTCACCTACAACCGTCACTCCGCCACTTTGTTGAAGCTCCACGTTATTGGTATTATTCATGTGAACTGTATTCATCATGTTCACTGTACTGTAAACCACTACATCTCCCTGCACCTGAACCTAAAAAGAAATATTTAAGTCATGGTTACATTGTGATGGAAACCCGGGGGGTGGAAATAGTGGTTTAAATTTTCAACCCTCGGTCTGCCCTGACAAGACACAGCTGACATTAAAATATGGCGGAAAAACGACTGTTTTGCAGACGCTAAAAAGTCAAAATGACCTTAATTGAAATAGTCACCATAGGGACAGGGAGCGTTTATTAGAGAAGGGCGTCTAATAAAATTTTAACCGTGTAGAGGGGGCGTTTATCAGATAAGAGGCGTTTATTTGGAACTGGGCGCTTAATAGGTCATTTACGGTAACTATAAAACGAACATACGCGTGAAGATGTAAGGAATTTAGGTCACTCTTCAAAAATTGTTTTTGCCGTTCAGGTCGCATCATAGTAGCCTGGGACCAGGCTCCGCAGGTGGGAAAAAAGGCCAAAAAAAAAAATCGGCGAACGAAGAAGCGAGCCTAGCGGTAGACTGGGGAGGGGGGAAAGGCGGCCGCCACCCTTTCCCCTCCCCATAAGACTAACCAATCATGGCTCTTGGACTAACTTAACTTTATTATTCCATCGCTCATATAGTACAAACTCAGTAAAGCCAAAGCCGGGGGCTTATACGGCCTGTGGTCAGAATGACAGAAATTATTTTATATAGAAATGAAGACTGTAGGCTAAACTACAAAACTAAAACAAGATACAAAACTGAAATTAAATAAGTTTACATGCAGGCAGTCCTATAACAGAGACGGAACTAGTGACAAATAAACTAACAATAAACTATGAGAATCCTGCGCTAGTTCAATTCAGGCTTAAAAAGCGAAGTTTTAGTTTCTTTTTAAAGTTAGTAGTGGTAAGGCTGTCACGGACAGTCAAGGGGATATCGTTCCATATAGTCGGGGCTTGAGAACTAATAGCAAATTGACACCTGAGGCACATTTTATGCAAGTTGAAACGAGAACGAGTTAGATAATCATGAAAATCACGATTAAAGTGGAGGAGCGAGGAAAGAGAGGCAGGTAAAAGGCGATTAAAGTGTGAGAATACAAAACAAGAAACATGAAATTTATGAAGTGAATGGAGAGAAAGAATAGTAAGCTTCGAGAAAAGAGGCTTAGAACGAGTTCGTAGAGGAGAAAAGGTGATAGTTCGAATGGCTTTCTTTTGGAGTAGATAGAGGAGTTCAAGGTAGGAGGCATGCTTCACTCGCCCATTCTTTTTTTTTTTTTGGCCTTTTTCCTCAACTGCGGAGCCTGGGCCCGGTTGCATAAAACGCCCGTAACAACTACGGGTACACGTACGTGCACTCGTAACTTAAGTCAGTTGCATGAAATCACTTAAGTGGTCCACTTAGGGAATTCACTTAAGTGGTTGCACTTACGATTTTCGTAAGTGTTCACTTAAGTGTCGTTTATGCAACAGAAATTGCGGGTGTTGCATAAAACTTTTTTTACGGAAAAAATAGCACGTAAATTTACGGGACCTATGTAGGTCCCGTATCGTTACTATTTTTACTAAATTTAACGAGATCTTTTACTGAGAAGTGAAAAAAAGTATTTTTCTTCACGTAATTCGTTCTAATGCGCTTTGTTAACCTCTGATGTACACTTTTGTGAAAAAGAAGAAGAACTATTATTTTCAGTAGATATTGAAGAAAAATAACGGTTGCATGCAAATTTCATTTTTTGAGAGGCTTAAAAGTGTTCGAAACGACTTTTAACTTTCTTTACACTCACCGATGGTTAGCTTAACTTGAAAAAAGAGTGAATCATTAATAAAGTGCTATATCAAGGTTACGTGTGTCCTTAAGTGAGCCCGTAAGTTACCACGTAAAACAGAAACTTACGAGAGTGCTAAGTGTGTTCCATGCAACACCCGTAAGTGTACCCATAACGGATTCGTAAGTGACCTACTTAAGTGAGCACTTAAGTGCAGGTTTTATGCAACCGGGCCCTGGTCCCAGGCTACATCATAGCTTTGTTATTTTTTGCTCCGCGATGTAGTCTACAGTATTCAAGCGCTCTAACCTTATGTTCTATTTTCTTCACCTGGTTAACTTTTCATATTCGCTAATTATCTTTTATTATTTTCAGTTAACTTGGCTTATTACTTTCATATGTGTTTCGATAACTGTTGGTGGTTTACACTTCAATGTTGGGTGTCAAGAACAAAAGCATTTCTTTCCACTAGTAACTAAACTCTGTTATCATAAAAATTTTTCGAAAAACAGATGTACTGTATACGTATTGACCACCAACGGCTTGTCACTTGGTTGCAAACCAAGAATCTAAAATATATTTCGCCTGTCTCACCTGAAGTGGCAAATCCTCGCTGACTGCGCATGCTCCTGTAGACTCAGCACTACAACCTTGCTGGTTCCACTCAGGTGACGCATCAGTCGTATTTTCCACTTGCGGGTCTGCATGCATGATAGGTTCCATCTCCGGGCTGTTAACCTCCTCTCTTAACACCATGCGAATCACGTCTGGCAAACCTCTTTCTCTTGACCACGAGAGGAATTTCTTAACCGCGGCACCCCCAAGGAATAAGACAAGAAGCAGCGACAAAGCAATCAGCAGCCAAGTTGCTGCAATCCAAGTTTCATCTTTCTTTTCTTCCATTTCTTCTCCTGGAACTGACATTCGTCCCTTAAGAAATTGAAAACAAAATTTACGCCAAATTTTGAGGGTAAAACGAATTGTATTATGGGAAACGTGAAGGGGGGGGTAAATAAATAAATAATTTATTTGTCACTCCAATAAAATCGGGTTTTCAGTAACACTTTACAGTAAAAAAACTATGAACATATAAAAACTATCCTGGCTAGCTTAAAAAGAGTCCAGGTATAAAACGTTCTATGATACTATAAAATTCTCCCAAGCGCTACTCTCAAGGGCAGCCTTAAAATTCATCAAATTATTCACTTCCTTTAGAGTCCGAGGTAATTCATTCCAAAGCCGAGCGGCTTTGTATACAAATTACCACTGACCAGTAGCCGTTCGGAATAGCGATACATCCAACTTGTGTCTAGTATTGGGAGACATCTAACAAAGAATTTACTGCGCAGATATGCTGGGGCTAGTCCGAGCACACATTTTTAAATGCCATTACAGCGTCAAAAAAAACCCCAGAGAATTTATAGTGGTCATTAGCGTTTATTTATCAAATAAATGTTTTACACGATTTATTTGACACAAGCTAGCTGTACACTTGGACTCTACATCAGTCACATGTTCATTAAAACTTAGGTGTGCGTCAACTACAACGACCAAATCCTTCACGGAATGTGACGGCCGTATTTCCTTGCCAGTTAAGTAAGGTGATGCTAAAATCCTTCGGCATGCATGCTAGCATCTGCAAGGTTCCCAGTAATAGCAGCCTAGTTTTATCTGGATTAATAAGAGGGCTATGCGTGCAACAACAGGCGGCCAATCTCCTGCAGCTGCAGTGTAGAGATACAAGTTGTTGTAATAGCTCTTCAGCACCCATTAGATGTTAAACAGGGCAGGTCCCAATATCGATCCATCAGGAACGCAATGCGCTACTTTACGGGAATCTGACAAATCACTTCCAATTCTCACAGACTGACTTCTGTCTGTCAAAAAATAACCTAAACAGTTACACGGCATCTCTAGAAACACCCAGTGAACGAAGTTTTTTCAGCAGGAGTCCATGTTCGATACCGTCGAACGCCTTTGATAAATCAAGCAGCACTAAGGTTGTAACTTGCTTTCAATCCATCCCGTCAAAGATCAAATCTGTCATAAAAGGGAGGTCGCCGTTTTTGCGGCTAACTTTTCAGTAACTGAAGTTAATTAGCTGTATCGTACATTTTTAGAAATTTTATCCCAAATCGGACTTAGAATCTTTTGACACGTCTCAAATGTCTTACGCTCACGTACAAAGATACACAAAAAAGCTACTGGAAGAATCTCGACTACTTGTTGAAGATTCCCTTTAAATAAACGACATTCAAGATGACGTATCTTAAAACAAACTGGCGAATATATGATCGGACGAAACTCAACGTAACGTAGCTGGAGCAGTAATGAACAACACTTTGGGTACGTACGTACGAGATCGGATCGAGCGTCAAGGCCATGCAATAAAATCACGCGCAACATATATGTGAACACATGGGAATCAAGTCTTGGGGCATTTAAGTGGCAGTTCCAATAACTTTTAGTAAATTGGTAATATTACCAACACTTACCATTTCACATGTTTTCCCATCTTCTCCAAGCCTAAACCCTTCCTCACAGAGGCATTTCCGCTCTGCTGGGTGTAGCAGATTTAAACATAAGTGCTCGCAACCGCCATTCTTATAAACACAAGTACCACCTGCAACCATCCCTGCCACCGTGCTCGGAAAGGGGTTATCAGAATCTGAAACAGGACATATAGTGTCGTAAGAGAACCCTGTCAGTTTGGCAAAGCGAAAACAGCAAAAAAGGCATGTGCGAAATTTGCGTGTGCTCCCACCTTGAGTACTATATCCACCTAGTCTTTCTTGAACTCTTTGGAGAATTTTTAATCCGTTCGGCTTGTTTAAACCAGATATAATGACCTCCATGCCAGTTCCACTAGATTTGTTGATGCGTAAAAGAGCGTTCTTTCCTTGGTCAGTCCAATACACATGCTCCTCAAAGATATCTAGACCAAACGGACGATAGCCCGCGGTGCGTTGAAAAATAAAGGTGATATTTAAATCACTCAGGGTGATAACCCCTATAACGCCGTATCCAGCTAGGTCGGTCCCGGCACAGTAAAGTTTGTTGCGTGTCTCGTCGAGAGCCAAACCATTTGGGACTAGGTTACTATCAAAAATAAAGAGTGTCTTTCTTTTACTTCCATCCAGCCTTGCTCGTTCGATTTTCGGCTTCCTACCGCTGTCGGCAAAGTACAAGTAGCTGTAAGAAAAAACATAAAAAATGTCAACTAGTGATGGCCAGTATGACAACTGACCTAAGATTAGTAACCTGTGTATAACCTGTGCCTGGTCTACTTCCTCACAAATCGCTTCGCTTAAATCGACTTACATAACTTAGTGTATCATGCCAAGGCAAAGGAGGAACATCAACCGTCGAAATGCCGTATTGGATGGCGCCAACGTACCAGCAGAACCAACAGACTACAGCGCCATGTCCACCGAAGCTCTTCGCCTCATGCTGGGAGAACGTCACCTCCAGCAAACCGGGAATCGCCGCGAACTTATCGCGCGTCTACAACATAACGAGCAGCAAAGACCGCCCGCATCACAATCAGCAGGCGCCCAGTCTAACTCCAGTATCGCCACCGGCGTTCCACACGCGGAATTGGCGGCCTTAATCGCCTCCATAGTGGACGAGCGGATGAACCGCCAACTAATCCAAGATGGCGGTGCCAGCAGTGCTCAACTCACTCGGCCCAGTCCTCCGAGCAACCGTCAGGACAGCCTCAGGTCCAGTCCTCTTCCACCGCCACAAGATGGCGGCCAAAACACGACACAACAACAACCTTCCCTTCAAACTCCTCCGACAGGTAATCTCCTCCCAAGCACCGCCGTTTCTTCTGGTCTCGCCGCTTCTTCTGGTCTTGGTTCCCTCTCTTCTCCAGTCGACTTTTCCGATCCAGCCCAAGTAGCGTCGCTTCACCCTAACTTCCGACAGCCTTCCCTCGCCAGCCATCTCACTAAAGCCACCTCGACGGCCATCACCAACGGTGAGTACGTGGACTTTGCTACCCTTTTACCAATGACCTCCCTTCTCACTGACTCCATCCATTCCCATCTTAACCTTAAGGTAGGCGATCAGGGTCTAACTATTCCCCTTCCCTCCTCCTCTAAACGCCCCAAAATCACCTCCATCGATCGATGGCTCGATGCCTTTGCCATATATTTCGCCGTTATAGTGTCGGTATATCCCTCTCGTGCCGCGGATTTAATAGCCTATCAACAGTTGATTCGCGATGCGGCACGAAAGTTCCCTGGGATGGCTTGGTATGTCTATGATGTGGAATTTCGAAGGCGTGCCTCCCATAACCTTTCTGCCAAGTGGGGGGAACGGGACGTCCAGCTCTACCTCGATACCTTCACAGGCCTCCCCAAATCGGGATGCCGATCTTGCGGCAGCATTGATCATCTTTCTGATACCTGCCCTTTATCTCCCCGTAGGTCCCGGGATGCCCTTACCCAATCCGACCTGTGCTACGACTTTAACAAAGGCCGACCCTGTGCTCGCACCCCATGCCCTTACCAACACAGGTGTAACCAGCCGGGATGCTCAGCAGCTCACTCTGGGGAAGATCACACCAAACTCACCCGCCACAGAGAGGACAGACCTAAATCGTCTTCAAGCTCTGGCAATTCCTCCCGAGGACACTCCTAATTACCTCTCCCAACTGACCCCTCCCACCCCCATTGACATCAACAAATTTGCATCCTACCTTCAGGGCCATCCAGATCACACAACAGTTAATCATCTTCTCACAGGGTTTTCTCAGGGCTTTAAGATCGGCTATTCAGGTCCAAGGGCCCCCAAGGAATATTCTAACCTTCCCTGTGCAAATATCAACCCATCTATTATTGACAAAAACATGCTAAAAGAGGTTACCGTGGGCCACACAGCAGGGCCTTTTCACATCCCTCCCTTCTCCAACCTGCAGGTATACCCCATTGGGGTCATTCCCAAGAAACACTCTTCGGAATGGCGTACCATTTTCCATCTCTCCTACCCCAAACACCGCCCCACCAGTGTCAATGCCCACATTCCTCCCGAATCCTATTCTTTGCAATACATAAAGGTGGACCACGCAATTGCCATTCTTCAGGATCTCGGTCCAGGCTGCTTCATGTCCAAACTAGACATAAAATCAGCATTTCGCAATGTTCCCGTCCACCCCTCTGATTGGGAACTTCTGGGTATGAAATGGGAAGGGCTCTATTTCTTCGATATGGTGCTCCCCTTCGGTCTCAGGTCGGCCCCCTTCCTTTTTGATGAATTCTCTTCTGCAGTGGAATGGATCATTCAAACTAAACTTAATATCCCAAAGGTTATCCATATACTAGATGATTTCTTTTTTGCTACCTCCCCTCCCAGATCAAAATGCATGACTGCTCTATGCCAAATTTTGCACCTTTTTACAGATCTAAATATCCCCATAGCTCCTGGGAAAACCTTCCCTGCATGCACATGCCTTGAATTTATGGGTATCCAACTAGATTCCAAGAAAATGGATGCCCGTCTCCCGGTGGATAAACTCACCCGCATTCAGGAAGCTCTTGGTCAGTGGACTACTAGGAAATCTGCTACCCTACAGGAGCTACAGTCTCTGATTGGCACCCTTCAATTTGCTTGTAAGGTTATTGCCCCTGGCCGCCCCTTCTTGCAACGCATTATCCACCTTACAAAGGGTATCAAGTTCCCCCATTGGCATATTCGCCTTAATTCCGGTTTCCGTAAGGACATTTCTATGTGGCTGCATTTTCTCCAAAATTGGAATGGGGTGTCTCTCTTTTTAGATACCCAGGCCACCTCCCCGCCGGAGCTTCAGCTATACACGGATGCTTCTGGTTTCCTTGGGTATGGCGGTTTCTTAGCAGGGGAATGGTTCCAGGGCCACTGGCTGCCCCACCACACCCTCAGCCAAAAAAGGGGTATTAGTATTGAATGGCAGGAGCTATTTCCCATATACTTGGCCTGCATTTTATGGGGGCCCCGCTGGTCCGGCAAAAGAATCCGCATGTGGTGTGACAACAAGTCAGTGGTGGCTAGCATAAACTCTAAACACTCCAAGTCCCCCCGGGTAATGGACCTTATTCGAGCAATCACACTTCAAACGCTCCAATATAACTTTGCATTCACAGCTACTCACATCCCGGGCTTAGACAATTCTATCGCTGATTCCCTTTCCCGTTTTCAGATGGACCGCTTCCGTACCCTGGCTCCCTCAGCCTCTCCCACAGCCTCCACCATCCCTCCATCAGCGATGAACATCTGAGAGGTTCCGTACAGCGATACCTTCATGCTTCCCTTGCCCCTTCCACCCGACGCACCTATCAAGTTGGCGTTAAGCACTTCCTCACCTTTACACTCATGCATGGTTTAGTAGGCCCCTCAAACCCCCTCCTACCAGCCTCAGAGATAACCCTGATGTATTTTGCATCTCATTTAGCCAACACAGTCTCCTATGAAACAGTCAAGCTATACTTGGTGGCAGTGCAGGACCTTCATCGGGAGCTTAACTTTCCTCTTAAGCTCAATGACATGCATAGGTTACAAAAGGTCCTGACAGGCATTAAGCGCCTCACTCCTACCAGGCGGCTTGACAGTTTTCCCATTACCCTCACAGTTCTCCATTCCATTCACTCCTACCTTAAGCCCGAACTTTCCTATAACCTGGACCATGTTATGCTTTGGGCGGCCTTCACCCTTGCCTTTTTTGGGTTTTTACGATCCAGTGAATTCACTTGCAATGGCCCCTTCGACCCCTCTGTCCACCTCACCTCCAAGGACATCACACTGGTACCCAACTCCCACTCACCCAACCACATGCTAGTCCACATCAAACAATCTAAAACTGACCCCTTCAGACAGGGCCACATAATCACCATTGCAAAGTCCTCGTCACCTATCTGTTCGGTGATGGCCATGAAAGACTATCTCCTTCAAGTCCAGCCACCATCAAGCCACCCTCTGTTCGCTTTCGTCCAACCCAGACAATGGCTTACACGGAACAATCTCACAACAGAGCTTAGGTCAATTCTTCACCAATGTGGCCTCCCTGCCAACAATTTCTACTCCCACAGTTTCCGTATTGGAGCCGCCACCACAGCAGCCAAAGCTGGCCTTCCACCCTGGCTTATTAAAGTTCTAGGCCGCTGGAGCTCAGACTGTTATGAACGCTATATAAGGACCCCTAAATGTACCATTTTAGAAGTACCTAGACTCTTAGCTAATACTAGTCCATAACTAACTTCAGGACAACCAGTGTTGTCTTCAACTTTCGTCAGATCACTTGCAAAGTCTCATAGGAGCGGAAGGTACGGCTCCCTCTTCTTGCAGGAGCTCGACTTTATTCGCCTTCTACTGTGGGGGGATTGTGTCCCCTGTCTCCCCATGCTCCACCATCCGTGGCAGGGAAGTGCAACCCCTGGCTGCACTTTACCCCACAGTAAGGCTTAGCCCTTGGAGACAGGTCCGGAAAAATATCCACTCCAGGGTGTGGACCCCCGGTCCCACCTGATCTGTACTCCACCCAGGAGGGCCACCCCTCCTGGTTACCCTCAGTTCCTGTACTGGGGGATATGGGCCTCACCCCCGGAGACTGATCAGGACTCCTGTCCAGGGTGGCTACCCCCGGTACCACTCGATCTTGTCTCCCCCCCAGGAGGGCTTCTCTCCTGGTCCCCTTATCCCTAGATTTAAGCGCTTCCCTGCCACCAGAATTTTGCCCATTACCCTTTGTGTGTTTTCTATGTGGTACTGACATAAGCATTTATGCGGGAAAAACACTGCCAATTGGAAGAGTTTATTAAGTTCAAGTTTATGGTAGCATAAACTGTTGTTAATAAACCTGAGAATGATGCCCTATGAAAGCACACTTAGGGCATACTTGCAACAATCATATCTTGGCTCTTATGTCACACAACGTGAACATTTGTATAAGCTTTTGTACTCAGTAATGGTAGATACTAGTTCAAAGTACAAGAAAGAACAATGAACACTAAGTAGTTGTTTGATTACAATGTATCCTTCTTTTTTGGCAAAGTCCACTGTAATGTAGCATGATATATTCCTAGACTCCACAAAGGTTCCATTCATATTATCACATGCTTATCATGCACGTGTGCTCCTCTTTTTGCCGTACACTGTCCTTTCCCAGTCAGTTCGTTTAGAGCTTCGGTTCATTCACAACAGCGTGTTTTCCCTCCCACCCACCCCTTTGTTCTGACTGGAACCTTTGTTCAGTTCTTCGATTACTTCTTATGTGCCCTATATATTTCAAATCAAATCAAAATCTTTATCTCACTTCGCATTCCAAAAGATAGCATCAACTAATGCTCATATCCCCGAAGGTATAGCAAAAACAAATAGAATATAAATGACAATGGTAATTAGAATAAAGTAATACTATATATTATGTACAAGTTTACGATAATGCAGAAACAAGACAATTATTTTATACAGTGTGTCTACAGTACCTAGCGATAATTAAAACTAATTACAAAGCAGCAGCATTTATTATCAATTATTAATGCTCTTAATTTTTTGATTTGAAAACATGTAATGATGCAGCAGTTCTAAGTACCTCTAGGAGCATATTCCAATATGGGCTGGCAGAGTAGCAGAGTAGCAGTATTTAGCACGACCAGAACATATTTTAAGCAGATCATTACCTTATTCCCCTATATATATATGTATCCTTAAGATTAATCATTTATATTATGGTGTTATACTCGACTAGGTCTCATTCCTTCATTAGGTTCCTGGGATATGAAACTGCTGTCTGGCTTCCAAATAAAAGGAGTGGCAGGGAAGTGCAACCCCTGGCTGCACTTTACCCCACAGTAAGGCTTAGCCCTTGGAGACAGGTCCGGAAAAATATCCACTCCAGGGTGTGGACCCCCGGTCCCACCTGATCTGTACTCCACCCAGGAGGGCCACCCCTCCTGGTTACCCTCAGTTCCTGTACTGGGGGATATGGGCCTCACCCCCGGAGACTGATCAGGACTCCTGTCCAGGGTGGCTACCCCCGGTACCACTCGATCTTGTCTCCCCCCAGGAGGGCTTCTCTCCTGGTCCCCTTATCCCTAGATTTAAGCGCTTCCCTGCCACCAGAATTTTGCCCATTACCCTTTGTGTGTTTTCTATGTGGTACTGACATAAGCATTTATGCGGGAAAAACACTGCCAATTGGAAGAGTTTATTAATTGCGTACATTCTTTGAGCAAAAAAAGACATGTTCAGTCCGCGTATGAACATGTCATCAAGGGCTAAGAGGCGCGTTAATATTCGAGCCAGGGCTCCGAGTAAACACAGTTTGCAGCTCGAAAGGGTTACCTAACATTGGAAAAAATCAAACTTTTGATACTTACCCTTTACTAAGAACAATAGCTCTCGGAGATTCCAGGTTTTCTTCCATAAGCTTGACAGTTCTGTCATTTTTTAGATCCCCAACATAAATTGCACCTTGCAGGGTGTCTGTCCAGTATAATTTTTTAGCCGGCCATCAACAGCCAGACTCGCCACTGACTTGACGTCATCAGGACGAAATTTTACTGCTTCATTGTTGCCATTATGTCGAGATAACTGGTATATACGTTTCCCGTCCGACCAGTAAATCTGGGACGATTCTGATGGAAAGTCAAATGATAAGACAATCTTCTTGGATATGTGTGTCATCCTTGACTTGTTGCGCAGGTCAATTTCGTATAATCCATCCTGTGATCCAAAAACTAACAGGGTTGTATCTAAATATATGAAATAAATGATGAACGCTAAAATTCGTATTAAATGCCGATTTGATAAAATAGTTACTAGATAGCTGGTTTACCCACACAGCGAGTGGTAGAGGCAAACTGAAAATACAAAGCGCATAAATCCTCTCTTTCACCTACCAAGTCGCTAAAATCTGAAATTCACTTGAACCCGATCTTTGGGAGAAGTTAGTGTTAACTTTAGGTTAGGGGAGTGTAGTTGAGACTAGACTGGCCGAAACTGCAAGGAAGCACACACACCATTAAACTTCACGCTATGGCCAGTTTCTTACGCATGACAGCACCTGCAATATCACCCCGTCAGAAACCTGTTCCAGGTTTTCAAATACTTCAGATAGTAGAGCTCTTTCGTCATCATTAGGGCTCATCGGTACAGCCGTCAGGCCGCAGTAGGACCAAAGGCCGTGTTCAGATGCCCTTTAATGCCGAAGCGAGTGCAAAGCAATGCTATAGTTACGTAGTGTGCCCATCCTTGCAGTTATCTTAACCCGATCCTAGAATTCTACATCAAACCGCTTATTGATTTCAAGGCTCATGGCAATCGCATTTCTGAACCTCACTTGCCTCCATTTTTCTAAATTTTCCTCCAGCAGCGCGTTCTCAACTCGAGGCGCAGATGTCTTGAGTGATGGGAGATGGCCTTCGTTTATCAGTGAGTTGTTGAGAAAGTTGGAAAACGAGAACAAAACAAAAAAAGGAGAAGAAAGGGAGGGGAGGGTAGGGAAGAAGAGGAAATTTTTTAAAATCTGGTGAATCCGTTTTTCTGCTACTATGTTGACAAGCTGTCAACCTACGAATGAAACGGACCGTCAAATATTAAGGGATGTGTATCAGAATCGAGGGGTCTGTGGACAAGCGTTTCTCTTCATCATTCCCTTCCTGCCTTTTTTTGCTCTCATTACAACTTTCTCATCCAACTCGCGCGGGAACACTTGCTACACAGGCTATACGTTTTTAGTAAAATCCAACTAGTGGTCTATTATCAATGCTGCGTTCTGATTGGTTGAGCTACTACTAGGCTATATGTTATAGGCCCCTGGCCTAGTAGCGAAAAGCGCGGGCTTTTTGGCGGCAAAAAAGGATTAAAGTCTAGCTTTAACTGGCTAAAAGTTTTTTATTCTCGATATTTTTGACCAAGTAGTTGGATTTTAAAAAAGCAATTATTCCTCTCGCCCTCATGGCCTCTGAGTCAATAGCCCATTCGGGCTCAAGGAATAATTGTTAAATAACTTCCTGCTAGTTCTTAACGCGCCACTACGTCAAATTATTTGGCTTGTACCTATTACAGTATTACGTCATAGGTGCAAACTAGCCTTTACCTTCTGAGCTGGGAGGAGGGCAGTCAGTCTCATCGGAGTTGTCCCCACAATCGTCATTATGATCGCACTTCCAGTTCATCTTTGTGCATGCGCCATTTTTGCAGGTAAATTCATCTGGCTGGCATGTCTTTTTGGCTGATTGTATAGATACAAGAAGCACAAGCAAGAAATCAGATTTCAACGCTGACACAGGTAGGAGTCCGCAAGACTACTGGGATTAGCCTGAGTAGCAGACTGTTTAAAACTATAGGTCTTGAGTCACAAGTCCGGCTGTAACGCAGGCTACCGTTTTGTACACAGATCAAGTTTTCTATCACGATTACCTCGATTCAGTATACAATTGTTCCATTTGCTTTGCTAACGAACGTATACCCATAAATCCTTGAAGCCTCATCGTTCATGGTTTATACTTTTAAGCGAGGAGGTTTTTTCAATCAGGTATACACACCCGATTTTGATTGAAATGGAATACGGTTTAAATAAGGTAAAAGAATTTTTCCATAGAAATCCCTGATAACGCCGTTTAACGCTAGTGGAGCAGTAACTTGTAATCAAGGTTAGTTTTTTTGAGATGCGAGTTTTTGACGCTGAAAAGCCAAAGTTAAAAGGATTTCATCGCATTTAACAAGTGACCGATACAGCCCACCAACTCGTCTGCAAAGAGAGGAGCAGTACAAAGCTTTTCTAATCTCGACTCTTCGCTCTTATTACATAAATTCTGAAATCTCATTGGCTCACAGAAGTGTGATTTATGTACGAATCCGCTAAGTCTCGCTGTAAATGACACCAGTTCTGTTCTAAATCGCACCACTTGTGCTCTAAATCGTTTCATTTGTGATCTTCTTTATACTGACATTATTTTTAAATCCGACGATGTTGCTCTAGTTAAATCGCACCATTTCTTTTTAGCAAACAAAATGAGAGTAAAAACATTATTGCAAACCGTCTATTGCGTCAATAAAATATTGGGACTGACTAAATCCTGTGTTTGAACGATTGGATCGTGCGATTTCAAAATGGGTGTCATAAAGTGGTTATTGAACGTTGTGTCGTAAAACTTTACTGTGAAATCATGCTTGTGATTGCAAATCGAACTCGCGCTGCGCGACTGCTCAACTTTGAGATTACGCCTATGATTTCAGGCCGAATAGAAATCCACTCTGTTCAAATACTATTGGTTATTTTGCAGATGATGATGCAAATGATTCCTGCCATTTCCTATTTAAAGCACTTCTGTTGACGGAATTCATCGCTAAAAAGGCCCCCAAAACAACCGGAAGAAGTTGTTTGTGGCCGTTTTGTTGCTAAGCAACTGCGGACAACCACCAGATTATATAGAGGATATTACCCGGTGGAGAGTAGCCTGCGGACACAGACGTATTTCCGGTCGTCGCTTCTCTCCACCCGAAAAGTAACGTTTGCGAATCCAAACGGCGGAGGGGCGGCTATACACAGGCTTCGTCCATTCAATTTCGAATGGACGATCCATCGCGCACGATCTTGCGAGAAGTCTCGCGAGTTAGCTTTTTGATTTTAGGAGCTAAACTGTGATTGGCTAATAATGTCTTACGCCGCGGAAATCGTTTGGCCGCTCGGGTTCGCAAACGTTACTTTTCGAGTGGAGAGAAACGACGACCGTAAATACGTCATCTGTGTCTGCAAGCTTGGTGGAGAGAAGATATTTATTTTAAGTTTTAGTGGAAAGAACTATATCTCACGAGTAAGAGCAGGCAGCGAACGTGTCAGATATTGTTCAAGCCACTCGAACATAAAATTCGTATCTTCTCTGGCACCACCGTGTAGTTTTCTTTTTGTTACATGGACTATAAATATACTTGGAAGAGACTGAAAAGCTGGGTTAAATACAGATACTGCTATTTCCTAATACAAATGCTGAGCTTAATACAAAATTACAAAATACTTGTACTTCTTGGAATTCCTTGTTGTTAGGCACAGACAAACCATAGTTATTGCCTCGGAGATATCGTTCGACACTGAGCAAAAGCTCTAATAAACAGGACTCATAAATTCCTCCTCATGGCAAACACAAATTCTTTGTGATTGTTCCTAGGGAGTTATATCCGCGAACGTCTCTCTCGTAGCAAATTTTGAGAAATTCTTTGAAAATCTTAGATCACATAGTCGTTTGCTTGGGTGTTTTGATTCTCTTGTTTTTCAGAAAACGCACTACATTTGCTCTACCGCAACGAATCTTCCGGCCTCCATTCATAACTTTTCCGAACAACAAACAAAGCAAGTTCATTCTGCAAAGTTTGAAAATGCAGAAATCCATACATACGAAAAATACACCTCTCAGTTCTCGATGTAGTGGTCAAATTGATTCTACATCGATTGCTTTAGTTCCGAGTGATACACTCCCGTCCATATAATAATTAGATTATATCTTACGGTGTCCTTCTGGATCCACGCGCGAGGTAAGTTTCGATAAATTCATAAACCTCACAGCGCGAGGTCTCGGCCTCGCTTCGTGAGGATTAAAGAACATGTCGCATCTAAGTGCAAGCAGCTCTTTGAAAAGGGGACAAGTGTTTTTTTTTTCTACATAAATATACTTTATTCATCTTTGCGATATTGCATCTCATAGACTAAAAATTGTTTATTTACAGCCTATATTATACTCACCACAAGACTTTTCATCTTCTCCATTCCTACAGTCCTTGTAACCATCACAATGTTTACTTTTAGGAATACACCGGCTAGAATCGTCGCATCGGAATTCACCCATTGGACATAGTCCAAGCGGATGCTCAGTAGAGATCAACACTGCAAAAGATTATCCGAGTAACATAATTGTTGTCTTAAAAAGGCTACAATGAACACTGATGAACTTAAACTCGGAAAACAAAATTCTTTTAGTGTCTTCAGTTACCCTGTATCCTAATTTATAGAGAAACAGCAAGAGAACCTGCATGCAGGCAAATCAACACTGCCATCCTCCTCAACGACTTTACTCGGCCCTCGCCAGACGTCGACGGAACCTGAGTGATTACATCCCAACAACGTCGCTAGTAAGAAAGCAACGCGATATCAAAGACTCCCGTGGGGCACTTAGGTATTTTTTGGGTGGGTATGTGCTGCCCGGGACTCCAAATTGCCCCCCGCTCTTTTTAAAAAAATTTTCCGCTAAAATTGATACCCCGTTCTAGAAATGGGCCAAATTTTTATACTCCGTTCTAGAAAGTTTGTAAATCGAAAGAGCCCAACTCCCTCGGGTACATTATGGACTCGTTCCAGACTTCCGCGCGCCTATTTATCCAAGATGGCGGAGTCAGCGCTCGCAGCTCGCGCCAAAATACGCCCGCCCTGCACGCTAAAACACAGGGTGCAACAAGAGTACAACAGTTTGCTTGTTAACGCATTGAACCGTATTTTTAAAAGCAATCTGTCCTTGAATAATTTCAAATGGCTGCTTACAAAACTGGAGCTTTCGTGCGTTCGAAATATTATACCCCGTTCTAGAAAACGCCTCTGAAATGGATACCCCGTTCTAAACCAGGAGCTTCAAAATCACGACCCCGTTGGGCGGCACATACCCATATAGGTAATGTATGGGAGTACCCCCCCGGGCAAAGACTATCTTTCTTAATGATGAACACGGCAACAAAACTCATTTTAGATTGAATTAATTATTTGAATCTTGAGGTTGAGTGCCTCTTAATTTTGTAAACAACTCCAGATAACCACCTCGCCGCTTCACGGCCTCGGTAAATATCCAGTACTATCCACCTCCACTTCGGTGAATAATTGTTATTTATTTTATTTTATTTTTGCTATCCGATAGTAATTAAAAAACGGTGAAAGGAGTTTGGCACTGCCCCTCCCTCCATTCCTGAATATCTTCAGACATGTGCAAACAACAGACAAGAAAGAAAGAGTCCTTTTTGTGGGGGTACAGGGAAGAGCTCACGTACTCAAGGGAAGTCCATGATGTTTTCTCTTGGTAATTCAACGCATTCACTTTTTCGCCCAGAACTAGTTGGCAAGATATTTTTTCGTCAAAAATTCATTAATATTCAGTAGGCATATTATCCAACTGACTTCTCGGATTTAATAAGTTAAGGACCTTTATACCCGCCAAAATGTCAGCCTCAGGGGAAATACGGGGTTGAATGACTGAAACAATGGAATACCGACTGGATGAACCTTCTATATAAACAATACTAATAACGTGAGATTTTATATTGACGATCCCCTTAATTTGCAAATAACAAGAAAATTGAAAAAAATTTGTCTTCCAGAAAAAGTTTTAAAAAAAATTTTCATCCTTAACCGAACAAAAAAAATCTTTGACCGGTCAGACCATATTCTAAAACGAAATATGAAGTTTTCTAACCAAAAAAAGGTACCAAATCGCGGTCCATGTTACCATTTCAAGAAGGAATGGGCGAAATGAGTCATGAGCAACAAAATTTAATTCTTACCGGTTTGCAATTCCTTTACATCGCTTTGTAGCTAGACTTAACGACACTCTACGCGAGCAATTGTTTCCCCTTGTGCAGCCTGTTAACTGTGAAATTTCTTTCATTTGGACAGCCGTTTTGCGAAGGCAAGTAGACACTCAAACTGTTTACTTCAGTTGCATAATACATTTGCATAAATATTTCTGCCCAACATTTGTTATTTTTGCTGCTTTTGTTTAACGTTTTTCAATCAACACGTTTTAAAAATATTGAAAAAATAACAATGCATTATTTTTTCAGTAGCAATCCTATTGAGATGAAATAGTCCGGGGACGTTTAAGCTAGCCTTCGAAAACATCCACTTCTCCTCGCTCTTTGCATCCTCGGAGACCCAGGAGCGGTCAGTCGGGCCGGGAGAAAAGGCGCGACGAAAGTTTTCACGCACGGGCGGAAGTGCCCCTGGGTACCGACTCTCACAGGACCATTTCCAGGCGGTGTTGGACACGGTCCGAAGGGCATCATGGGGAAAAAATCAAAAACGGCTCATTTGCATCTGACCTTCGCTTTGTTCACATCTCTCGTTACGCCATAAAAATACCGGGAGAATTAGTGTGATATGGGCATTACAGGTCTTCTTCCGCTTTTAAAGAACATAACATGCGATGTTCATTTGAGATCTTTCTCTGGAAAGGTGGCCGCAATCGACGTTTACTGCTGGCTTCACAAAACTGTTATTTTCTGTGTCGAAGAGATAATTCTGGGATCGAAGCAACGCGGTACGTATCAACACATCGTTCTTACATGTGCCTAAAGTGCTTGATTTTGAACGTAAGCTTCTCTTTAGCGCTCTTCTCACCTCAGATTTTTTTTCCAGGTACACTGACATGTGCATGAAGGATACTGATCTTCCCATCGAAAATAATATGCAACCTATTCTGGTTTTCCAGAAGAAGCTGGAGGCCAAGGCAAATGTGGAATCCTCCTCCTCTAACTTGTTGTTGTTGAGGACAACAGCAAGTTAGCGGAGGTTTTCTAGTCATTTTTTTCCGTATGAATTCAGTTTTATCTGTTCGTTATGTTTTGTATGATTTATTAGGAATCATGAAGAATCTCGCACAGAAGGTTAACTCTTTGCGGACAAGGGCAGAAGGAAGAAGCCAAGGAACTATTCAAAACGGAGGGCCTAAGGGCCGATATGATGACATATATATTACAAAAAAATATCATATTTTTAAAGACGAATAAAAAGGAAATGAAAGAAAGTATTCTGAGCTGATCGTGTAGTGAAAGTATTCTAAGCTGGTTCGATCGTGACCGCGCGAGTATATTTATAATACTAAAGATGCCGCGGAATGGAGTCACGATTCACGCACGTTGGTATACTTCAAGTGGCATTTTGACCCTTAAAACGGCGGGGCCTGCTACGGCCCGCCGACCATTTCAGATTCTTGAACAACAAAACTAATAGATTATGCTAAAAATGGAGGTCAGGGGTCGTTGAACACAGAGAAGATGTAGACTGAAAAGCATAAACAATAGCGCTTAACTAAACAAAGGGATTATGCGCATGAAGAATTACAACGAACAATATCAATAGAAAACAAACATACATCATATTGTTTTAAGAACTGCGGCTTGCTACATCTGTCTACTCAAACTTTTCCAAAAAAATCATCGTAAATCACTTGATAAACGGCGAAAGTCGAAGAAAATCGAAGAGACTACTAGCGCAAAGGTGAAAGAATCAGTCCGCCATCTGCAATGATGTGATTGGACAAAATTGGTCACGTGGACCGTGTCTAACACCGCCTGGGACCATTTCCAAACGGTCAAGCGAATACTGGCTTCTGATTGGGCACAGAAAATGCTTTGTATCGGAGAAAACAGCATCTCCTGAGTTCTTTTTGTGAGTTCGTACATGACGGCTATTGACTCGATCACGGCTTGTCTGGCTCACGGACCAAAGAAATGCACGCAGTCAGGAAACTTTCAGTTCGATATAAACTTTCCATTTCAAAATACTGTCTATGCGAAAACTAAAGACGCTTTTCCGAAAATACAAGCTTGAGCTTACAACAGGTATTCACGCTTGCATCGATCACGTCTTCGTAAATATTAGGGAGTTCAAGATGCCACGACAACTGACAGCCACGAAAAGGTCGCATGAAAAGTGAATTCACAGTTTTTCAGTCTCTATCGTGATTATTCCAACTCGCTTACTTTGTTAAATGCAAGCGAACTCTTCTGGAGCTGAATTTCTAAAGAGGAAGAAAATTTTGTCACTCATTGCTTGTTTAAGTCCTTCACAAAACGCGAAACTAGGCATTTTCACGTGGTAGCCCTGCAGTGACGGCAAAGAAATGTACAACAGAGCGTGATGCACGTGCAAAGTTGTTGTTTTGCCTTGTCAGTCAAGCTATTGCGTTTTTTGATTTCTTGTCCGGCGCCGCCGCACCTTAAACTTTCTATTACTTACGATACAGTTGTGATCCGTCAGAAACAGAATTTTCTCAGTGCAAATTGAATTGCTCCTGCTGATAGCATCCGAAACGTTTTCGACTCATCGGTAGTTCCTTTATCTGGATAGGAAAGCTTGGTGAACGAACCGGGCAACTGTGGCGAGATAATAGCCGTCGTGTACGAACTCACGAAAAGGGGAGGTGCTCAGGAGATACTGTTCGCCGATTGGGCACAATAATACAAAGCATTTTTTGTGCTCAATCAGGAGCCAGCATTCGCCTGACCGTTTGGAAATGGTCCTGTGAGAGTCAGTACCCAGGGGCCCTTCCGCCCGTGCTTGAAAACTTTCGCAGCGCCTTTCTACCGGCCCGACTGACTGCCCCTGGGTCTCCGAGGATGCGCTCTTCGCCGCTGGGGACGTTTCGCGAGAAGGAACGTCTGCGACTCAGCGACCGAAATTCCATACTGATGACGCAATCAACGTTTACATAATGAATCCGGTAGTCATGGGGTTCCAAATATAAATTTGCCCAATTTTGCGTGTCTTCTGGTCGATTTTGGTGAAGTGTTGTGTTCATCTGCCAACGAGCTCTAGCAAGACTCAAATGCTTCTTCTAGAGAAGACTATATTCCACAAATATTATTTCACGTTTACATTTGACCTTTGTGGCCTTTTGTCTTTTGTCTGTCATTCGTAAACAATAGCTAAAACAATGTAACTACTCCGTCGACCAATCAGCGCTTCTGACCGAATTGCGGACAGACTATACTTCATCAGTATGGAATTTCGGTCGCTGAGTCGCAGACGTTCCTCCTCGCGAAACGTCCCCAGCGGCGAAGAGCGAGGAGAAACTTATGTTTTCGCAGGCTACGTTTAAGCACTCACAGCACGTGATTTATCAACATAACCTAATTAACCCCCAGTCTCCTTTGAAGTCAAACGTGCGGCGCCTAATTGTGCAGAAAATGTCAGGTAAATCCACTAGTTAAGAAACACCTGCGAAGACATCTAGATCAAGTAGAGAAAATACTTTCGGCAGTTTTTCACAGAAAATACTTTCTGTAGTATTCCAGAGCTTATGCCTCTTTTTTATGGTTTGGTTCATCACAAGCCTCAGCGTCCCGTAAGTTAAAAAATGCGTAGTGTCTGGTTGCTATGTAGTGACTTAATCATCCAGTTGAGTATCTATCATCGTAACACTTTTGCGGTCAACTACCGCAGTGCTCGAAAAGTACTTTAATTAAAATCGTGTTCAAACCCCTGTGGAGGAAGTCTGTTTATTTTTTATAAATGCACTTCTGACGTTGACGAGGTTCAATTTTGCATAAATTATCAAAAATTTTGTTAAGCGGGAAATCTACCTTTTGTAAACCGGTTGAAAATAAAATTTATTTTCCTTAAAAATAATTATCTCTTGATCTTTCATAATTTATAATTATTATATTTTAATCTTTTAAACTCTATTTTATCTTAAAGCAAAGGTCTTTATCTTGTTGCTTGAAATGGTGCGTTTGTCATCATTTGCGCTCACAGCAATCTTGTTCATTTCATTGAAAAAATATCATCATTTTGACTTCTTATTATATTATTTGCCTCATTGATCTTTGCCTAATGAAATATCACACCAAACAACCAACTCCTGGAAAAGAATGCAAATGCCAACTCGAAGAAACGGAAGTAAAAGACGGTCAACGTTGGTGTGTTAATTGATGTTCTTGGATACTACGACACAAACGTTTTTGAAAGATGTCACTTTCGAAAAAAATTGTGATTTTTGTGCATGTAGTCTTAATAGTCCAAAATTGACATGTAGTCTTAATAGTTAAAAAATTGACATGTAGTCTTAATAGTTCAAAACTATGACTTGATTAATGAAGAAAATGAGGGAAAAAGGTATTTTAGAGTTGATCCAGAAAAGGCATTTTTATAACTACTAGCTTATGCAGTCAGTTACAATTCCGGTGCAGCGTCTTTAACTTCGATAATCACCATCTCTGCATATATTTCTTCATTGTGCGGTTTAAATATATAAAATTCAGATATTCACCATTTCAATACTTACAACGGCTGCAGTTAAGCTCATCTAAAGCATCAAAACAATCCTCAATGCGATCACATTTCTTTGTCTCACTGATGCACTGGAGTCCATCTCCACACAATATTTCCGAGCTGTTACATTTTGGTCTTCTGTTCTGGCAATCAACCTCATCAGAGAAGTCACCACAGTCATCACGACCATTGCACGTCCATTTCATACTCGTGCAGTTTCCATTGTTGCAAGTAAACTTATCTGATGTACACGTCACGTTAGCTTCTGGCAAAAAAAAAGAGAGAAACAAAGTCAGGAACAACAAAGTTCTACGTCTTTGCATAGCCTGTTCTAAGCAAGGGATGATGGTAGATTCGAAACAGCTACGCAAACCCACCACAAGTCGACGGCAAAACATCCCTGGCCGTGCTTAGGAGATATTGAGGACTCTTTTGTAAATCACTTATCAGTGAAATTGATATCCTCAATAAAGATTATTATTATTAGTTAATTAATTAATTTATTTCAACGGCATTGAATTTAACTAGTGCGTCAGTATCCTACTGAACAAGTTTCGTATTCCACACATTTGTTCAGTTTTAATAAATTACTGTCAAAGAAAGGAGCACAAACAAACTAACATTAAGAAAAATATAAATCAGAGAATTCAAAAATTCGAATTTTGATCTTCAAACGGCGTTCACAGGTAACATGGAAGCAAATGACGTATACCTAATAACTTTGTCTCAAATTTGTCCTCAAGAATAATAAGCGTTAAGGGTTAACGCTTATTATTCATAAGAGAAATTGTGCTAAAACAAATATATACATTACAATATTAAAAAGCTTAGATCAACGCTTAGACCATCCCCTATTTCTTCTTTATAAGAAGACCCATGCCTTAATTTTCTTGCATCATTATACGTTTCTAGGAAACTGCCCACCTACCCCTCCCTTAAGCCAACATTTTTCCCTAAGTGAGAAGTAAGTGTTAATGTTGGCTTAGAGGAGAGGTAGGTAGGCAATTTCATAAAAACGTGTAACGATTCATTTTCTTGAGGAGCATTGCTACCCCTGTGGGACATGACCACTTGATCACCTTTCTTAGCCTTATTGACATATTTTGGGCAACCAAGTACGTCAGAGTGTTCCCGACACTGACATACACCACTGCACACCCCGTTGATGATTTGCATTTGCCATTCGTCGTACAGGCAAGTCATGTTAGCGGTTTTAAACAATATTCACAGAAAAGGTAGTTTCATCTCATTATATAATTTTGCATTCCAACGATTCTGCTGTTTTTCATGGCTGATATTTCCTTATATCCGAGACTGCAAAGATCTAAAAATCGCACAGATTAAGCTACGTGCAAATGGATGCAACAACTAGACGGATGCAAAGCTTAGTGATTTCTACGATATATCACGCTGAGTCCAGAACGAAACTGATAACCGAGTTTAGCTCACTGATAGCTGATCCTTCAACAACGAAGACGTTACTGATCTTTACTTAGTAATACTCGACATAGTGTACGTTTAGCTACGAAAACAGTGACTGCGTTTCGTTAAAACAGTGAATTTGGTTGAAATTTCATTGCGCTTAAATTAAACTGTAATTTTAACGTTTTATCTTTACAAATTTAAAATGTCGCGAATCGATTCCTTTTACTAGCAAAAAGACCAGCCTACCTGAATGGTGATCTAAAACGGACATTCCTGCAGTTTCTGTAGCAAGGAAAATAGAAGCCATGCATAATCTGAAGACAATGCGTTTCATTTTGAAGAGAACTCAGGTGCGAACCGAGCGCGGATATGCCGTTTACAGCTAGGTTTTCAGCGTCGCAGCGCTGGTCAAATCCGGAAACCGATACAGTGACAAAAAGTACGTACAGTCTCTAATCATCTGGAAGTACAAACGTTTTCTTCCTTTCAATTCTTCAGCACCCTTCTCTACCGCCACTTACTTAGATATTCCACGCGCTTTTCTGCATATTTAGCTATTGTTTCCAAATCACAAGTGCGTGAAATTCGGGGAATACCCCCACATTTATAAGCCGTGAGTAATAGAACTTTGAGTAACAAATATTTAATCGATAATCTTAAAGACAACTGATAATTGAGCCAAGAAAGCCCGGAAAACTGACATACACTTCAATTGCCGAAGATGAGTGATTGCTGATGCGCCAGCGGTCACCAAGCATCATCTACCATTGGGGCTTCAGGATAAAAAGATGACGTCATTATTCTAGTGATTCCACAAAATTCTTACGACAGGGCCAAAGAGAGCACCATCATCTGAAGATTCCCCATCTGGTGTTCGCAAAAAAAATAAATACACAACATCAACAAATCTAGAGGTGTAAAGGTTTTTGTGCTTTGTTTTAGAACAGCTGGTTGGGCCTTGGCCTGTGAATAAATGTCTTATTCAGAGAATTTGCGATCTAGTGACAAAAAAAAATTGAGCACTCCCATGAAAGCGTTCCTTTTGGTCAGTGGGCTAAAATGACGCGGGCTTTTTGTTTTTCCCCGCCCAACCTCGTCCCTGGGACATTCTCTTATTCCAACATGGCGGCGGCAGGAAAGATCATTTCCACTATTGCATCTTGACTCAGTGGTCCGTGTTTCCCCAAAACGTGCAAGAAATGCATCAACCATCAAATCTTTCACCGCTCTCACTCGGTGGAAAAACATGGGTGACTGTTCTTCTGAGTTTTGACTCAGCGAGCGATCCAAGTCGCTACAACACAAAATTTTCTTTGCCCTTGTTCACCAGCTAACGTCAATTATTGCAGTCAACAGTAGCTGTTATTGCTGGTAACATCTTACACTTCCAACGTCGGCACTCCGTGAATTCCAATGAGTTCGACTGAAATTCCAGTAAAAGTGACGCAACCGACAACCTACGACTTCGGACAAAACCTGTTGAGACTCACCGCTAAAATAACTATTTTTCCGTCATCCTGGCAAAAATGGAAACCATCGCCAAATGAATGCTTGTTTTCCCCTTTCCCTAATTTTAGGTATTCCATACTTCAGTGAGAAAGAATTTTACTCGTTCTTGTCTCACTGTTAGGTACTAAGTATTCCTCTGTTTTCATATCCATGAGTTTGTGGTTCAGTTTCAACATAAGTGTTAATTTGTTCTACTTTCTTCTTGTCTCTAAAGTATCCCATTCTAAATCGTAAATACTCTTGTTTTTTTGGCCATCTTAGCTAAAGGAGAAACAAAAAGCAAGCTGCGGTGATAAACATGAGGAAATATAAACGCATTTCCAGAATTGCGCTTATATTTCCTTATGTTTATCTCCACAGTTTGCTTCTTGTTGTTTCTTCATTTCCCATTCTAGTTCTTTAAGCATGTCTGAAACAATGGCCGTTTGGTTGTAATTGTTGAGGCAGAAACGTGCTGCTTTTCTTTGGCAACTTTTACTTTTTTTTTTTAAGACCGGCCTTATTTGTTTGCTTTCTACGTCGGGGGTGGAGGCTTCTGGAGCCCCCCCCCCCCCCCCCCCTCTCCGCCAGGCCCACCCTCTATAACTTCAAAACCGCTCATAATACGGCCACAAAAATTACACAAAATAGTGCATTCATATTTCCAGCATCTAGGCATAACTTGATTGACACAACGACGTTATTTCACTTCACTATGGCGTCATATGGTTGAACTTATTGGCAAAATCTAAATTCCATCAAATTTTCCCCTAAAAGCGAAGAATACTTAAATAGTAAGGTGTCTGACAAAATCAAGAAGTTGACAAACACATTAATGATCTTTAACAATACTAGTTATGTCTTGATGACGTCATTTATTATTAAAGATCCGCCGAGTTTTTTCCCCTTTGTTTGAAAAACGCCGCACATGTTTGCATTTTTCCATCTACTAAGTACCGTTCCAGTATTGATTTAATCCTGATAAATATTTCTGAGGGTAGATGCAATTTCAGCGGCATATTGCTGCTGTTTTGTTTTTCACGCTTCGACAGTTTATCGACATGCACTTCAACTTCGCTCATTCCCTTCTGTTGTTATTTTGTGCACAGTAATAATTATCGAAATTTGACCGCAAAGGAAAAACAGGAACTTCTTCTACACATTTGAAGACACTATACACAATGCGTGACTTCTGGTGTAGTGTTATGTAATCCATTTTTAAACTTTCATTTTCTGAACCTTTTGGGTTGACTTGATTATGTTGTAGGAATAGAGCGATTTACAATCAACACGTGGCAGTATTTTTCCCTGAAATTTGCACTCCTTTCCGTTTTAAGCGACGAGATGTGCATAACTTTAAAATAATCAATAATAATAAGAATAAAAACAAGCGAAATTTATGTACCAAAATATGACACGTTTCAGAATGAGGCGTGAAATTAAATTAAAACAGTCGCTTTTATCGCTCGCATCATTTCAAAACAACAAAAAAACAAGCATTCCTTCGTCATATTTGAATATTTTAAAATTATCACATTATAGATGCAACTTTTATTTTTCAATTAAAAATCTTCTCATTAAGTATTAAGTGACAAGAAACAAATATGATCATAAACGCTCTACGGAAAAGTACGAGCTTTTAGTTAAGTGGACGAAAATTTGATGTATTGGTACTTTAATTATTATGCATATGAAGTGTTCGACCGAAATAATGCGGCGATCACGCACACGCTTACCTAAGATACCGGCATGTACCTTTCTAGTGACTCTTTCAATTGGTATTCTTTATACTAGAGCCTAAATAAGCTAAGAAATATTTCAAGACAAGTAAATTTTAATTACTTCGAGTAAAATAAAGCTTCACACACAACCGATTCTTTTTTGCTTCAGGTTAACTTAAGGTTATTTTCCGACGCAACATATTTACGATTAATTGACGTGTTTCGCCTTTCTCAAACCTCAAAAAACCGCAAGTAACTGCAAGTCAGCTAAGTCGGTTTTAAGGATGGTTTTCAAGTCGCTTGAAACTTTCTTGAATGGTTTCAACTTTCCGACTTTAATGAGATGCAAGGTAAAGTTACTTGAGATTTTACTTAGGCCTTCACACACGAGTTTTTGGTTAAGTAAAACTTAGCAGCTCTTAAGTCTTACTTAACAGCCTAGTGTAAAGACAGCCATAAGTAGTATACTTTAGCCTAATTATTACCTGGCTGGGCGAAAAGGGGTGCAGTTGAAAACATGAGTGATATCACAACCACGCACAAATGAAAGGTAACGCGTGCTATACGATGTAGTTGATCTGAACTTGATCGTTTCATGTAAGAGTAAACATTCGCTGGGAGCTTGTTGAAG